CACACACACACACACACACACACACACACACACACACACACACCCCTACCTTTAATTTCATTGGAAAGCCTCGACTGTGTTGTCATAGCCTGATTTACGGGGTCATAAATTATACTTGTTGCAAATAAGTGAGCGTTACATTCATAAATTACACAACCAAGAAGAGAGATGGTGGGAAATTAAGTTAAACGCCAAAGGGCACTCCCCTCTCCCTTTCTCACACACACACACACACACCCCAAATGAGACGCTGTCACATCGCTTGCCCTCACTCATCCTGTTTTTCTGAAAGCTGACTCACAGCTAAAAGTCAATCATCAGCACAAATGCTGCTTAATGCAAACTCCCTTTGCTTCCATCTGCCGGAGGGATACACAAAAACTGCACTCGGCCTAATGCACTAACACACACACACACACACACACACACACACACACACACACACACACACACACACACACACAGGGAGGAAGGTTTGGATTTGTGTTCTCACACAGTAGCATATATGTTGATTGTTCACTTCTAAGCCAAGGCAAGCAGGTGACTTCAGTTACTATAACAAGAAAAGGGTGACCGACCTAACACCTGTTTCAAATCCTATATTTACCCTTTTATTTTTAAACTGCAGATTTTGAATTCTGCACAGCTTCCCAGGTAAGGTATAAAATGAGACCAGATTCACCTTCTACATAATATGACAGACAGAATTAACAACTGTTCACAGTGGAAGCTTACCTGGGATCACTACAGTCAAAAGACAACTGAAAGTAATTTAAATGTGACAGCACAGCTCTCTTCTGGGACTTACCCACTCTTCTGTGCTTACACACTCACTCGTCACTTTGTTAAATACATCTGTTCAACTGTTTATTAATGCAAATATCAAATTAGCCAATCAACTGGCAGCAACTCATTTAGGCATGCTGAGATGGTTAAGACAACCATCTGAAGTTCAACGTGAGCATCTGAATGTGGCAGAACTGTGATTTAAGCGTTCTGTGGGTAAAAACGCCTGGTTGATGTCAGAGGAGAAAAGCCAGAGTACTCTGAGCTAATAAGAAAGCAACAGTAACTGAAATAACCACTTTTTTTTCCCCAATCAAAGGTATGTAGAAGCATGTCTCACACTCAATATTCACTGATGTGCAGCTGACAAATTAGCAGCAATTGTGTGATGCCATAATGTCAGTGTGGACCAAGATCTCTGATCCCATCGCCTTGTTGAATCTATGGCATCAAATACTGAATCAGTTTTGAAGTCACAAGGGCTTCCATCCCAGTACCATCAAGAGATACTTACACAAGCGGACAATGAGTGTATGTGGAAAGCATAAGATCCAGAGAGCAGCAGTCAATGACAACAGATATGTATGTCAGCAATGAATGAAGTCAGGCGCTGGGGGTGAAGGTGGGTTGCAAAGCAGCTTGCAGATGTTAAATAGTTTTTAAAGTAGAAGTCACATTCTCCCAAATATGGTGATGCAGAGCTTTATGTTATGTACTTTCACCACATCTTATGTACTCACAGGCACTCCCACACACACCCAGATGCATTGGGAACAATTAGTATCTCTCCTGGTAACAGACATGCAAACTTAAGGACTCGACCCTTACATAACCTGTTCTACATCCCGAACCACCACCAACCTATATGAGGCAACTGACTGCATTACTAGCTGCAAAGTCAACTGAGCTCAACTTTGCAGCCTGCATGAACTAACGCTGCACGCTCAGTTTTATTGCTGGTAATTTAGAAGCTTGATCCAGACAGCTGTGATCTATGATACAGAGAAGAGTTAACAGGTGAATGATTTCAGTGTTTGGCTTCATTATGACTGATTCAGACCTCAAGTAGTACTCAGTCTCAGTTTGGCTGTGATGTGCCTGCAGAGCTCTTCAGCACCTTACTAGGATTAGCCTGATCAGTAAAAGAGCAAAGAGGTGAAAAGATCAAAGTAAAATCTCTTCCTTCAGCAGTGGTATGAATGAAACATGGGTTTCTCCCATTTTCCACTAGCAGAGAGACAGAAAACACCAAAGGATGGAAAGATGGAGAGAAAAGAATCATAGAAGGAAAAGGTGGAAGAAAGCGAGCCCATGGAAGGTTGCTCCCTCCTTAACTCTCTTGTCTGCCTGTCACTCACACACTTAAACCGTCCCAGTTCTCACGGTGTCTCAGTTGTGCATTGATGTAATTACAGAAAAACGGAGCAAACCTGGATTCATGGCCAATGAAAGTGCAGCACAGCCATGTCTCTGAGGATTTCAGTCTTCTCTGGAGGCTTTCCAGATCTACAATAATCTACACTCTGATGGCAAATTAGTCCCTGTGGGATCCTCAGTGCTGCAACAGCATCAGAATATCTTCGGGATTAAAAATAACTCATGATGTCATGGTTGACGGCAGTAAAAGAAGTTTCATCAGGAAGAGGTCCACGTTTTTCATTCATTTTGCAATTTTCTGTGTGATGATGGTCAAAGTGCTAACAGCAAAATGTTAGCAGGGAAGTAGGCACCTGGTGCAATTTGTCAACCAGCAATGTTGGAAGTTATCCTAAAG